ACTGGAGCTGCTAGGCCTGCGTGTTCGCCTGGAGCTGGAGCTGCTGAGGGTGTTGGCGCTGAGGCTACTGCTGTCAGTCCTGGAGACGGTTCTGCTGGGGGTGCTGCTGGTGCTGCTGGAGGTGCTGCTGGCTCTGGTCCTGCTGCGGGTGCTGCTGGTCCTGCTGGAGGTCCTGCAGGTGGCGGTGGTGTTGGCGCTGGTGCTGTCCCTGCTGTGTCTGGAGTCGCCGCGCGGCCTCGGCCGTACTTCGTTCCGCTCCTTCAGCAGGTTCTTGGTCTTCCTCCTCCCTTAGAGTGTCCACCGCCTGTCCAGTCCCAATCACAGCTTCCGCCGGCCTCCCCACTGCCTGCTCCTTCTCCCTACACTGGTCCTACTGGAGGTCTTGCTAAGCGTCGTGAGCCTGCGTCTCGTCCTGCGTCGCCTGTTCGTGCTGCTCGCACTAGTGGTCGCGGTTCGCGTCAGCGTCCTCCTCCTGTCCCTGGCACGCACCGGATGTCTCTGCGTCCGTCCACCGCTCCTCTGCGTGCCCCTTTGCCTTCTCCCCCTGAGTCCTCTCTTCTTGCCCTTGCCGACCCGGAGTCGGACTCTCTTCGTGCTGCCGGTCCTACAGTCACGCGTCTCCTTGCTACTGTCGTCACGGACCCCTCCTTTGAGTCCACTGCTGCGTCTGCTCTTGTTGCTGAGTTCGTCGACTTTGCTGCTCGCTGTCGTCTTGACTACGCTGCTAGTCTTGTTGCTGAGTCTGCGTCTGTCTGTCCTCCGTCCGTTAGGGGTGAGTGTGCTCTTGGCACGGACGTCCTTGAGGACAGGGAGGAGGAGTTCCAGTGTCTAGCTGCTGCTTCACCTCATCTCGTGTCCGTACTGCTTACCCCTGAGGGAGACCCGGATGCACTTGACATCCCGACTCCGCGCTCTTACGCGGAGGCCGTAGAGGGTCCCTACTCCTCTCAGTGGCAGGCAGCTATGGACGCAGAGATGGCTTCTTGGAAGTCCACAGGCACCTACGTTGACGCAGTTCCCCCTCCTGGGGCGAACATCGTCAGTGGCATGTGGATCTTCAAGGTGAAGCGGCCGCCGGGTTCTCCGCGTGTCTTCAAGGCGCGGTACGTGGCTCGTGGCTTCACTTAGCGGCAGGGAGTAGACTACTTTCAGACCTTCTCTCCCACCCCGAAGATGACCACTCTTTGGGTGCTGCTACACATAGCCGCTCAGCGTGACTACGAGCTTCACTCCCTTGACTTCAGCACTGCTTTCTTGCAGGGTAGCCTGCACGAGGAGATATGGCTGCGTCGTCCACCTGGCTTCACTGGGACTTTCCCTCCTGGCACCCAGTGGAGCCTCCGACGGCCAGTCTACGGTCTCCGCCAGGCACCGCGCGAGTGGCACGACACACTGAGGACTACGCTTGCGGCTCTTGGGTTTGCTCCCTCTACTGCTGACCCGTTGCTGTTTCTGCGCACCGACACCTCTCTGCCGCCGTTCTACATCCTCGTGTACATCGACGACTTGGTCTTTGCCACTGCTGACACTGCTGGACCCGCCGACGTGAAGTCCGAGCTGCAGAAGAGACACACGTGCACAGACCTGGGTGAACTGCGCAGCTACCTTGGCTTGCAGATCACCCGGGACAGAGCACGCCGCACCATTACCCTGACTCAGTCACACATGGTGCAGCAGGTCCTTCAGCGCTTCGGCTTCACGTACTCCTCGCCTCAGGCCACTCCTCTGCCTACTCGCCACTCGCTCTCAGCTCTGCCTTCGGATGAGTCCGTAGAGTCGAGTGGCCCGTACCCAGAGCTTGTTGGCTGCCTCATGTACCTGATGACCTGCACACGACCTGACCTTGCATACCCTCTTAGCATTCTTGCACGCTATGTTGCTCCTGGGAGACACAGACCGGAGCACATGGCTGCAGCGAAGAGGGTGTTGCGCTACTTGTGCAGTACGTCGGGCATGGGGCTAGTGCTTGGAGGGCAGAGTCCAGTGGTCCTCACTGGGCACGCAGACGCTTCTTGGGCTGACGACCAGGCTACACAGCGGTTGTCACAGGGTTACACCTTCAGCCTTGGTTCCGGCTCTGTTTCGTGGCGGGCTACTCGCTCGTCTTCTGTTCTCGGCTCCAGTTGTGAGGCTGAGATCTACGCCGGAGCCATGGCTGCTCAGGAGCTTCGCTGGCTCACCTACCTGCTGACTGACCTCGGAGAGCCGCCTCGTTCTCCTCCAGTGCTGTACGTAGACAACAAGGCCATGCTGGCCTTGTGTCGGGAGCAGCGCCTGGAGCACAGAACGAAGCACATTGCTCTCCGCTACTTTCTTGCTCGTGAGCTGCAGCAGCGTGGTCAGTTGCGACTTGCATACCTGGCCTTTGGGGCCAACACTGCTGATATCTTCACTAAGGCACTTGCGCCTTGTGATCATCAGCGCTTCTGTACTCAGCTTGGTCTTGTACCTGTCTTGCCTCACTTACTCACTTCTTGACCTTGCTCGTACTGTGACATATATATATACTCCTGCTCTTGCTTGTTTAGCCTGTTATATATATATGTGTTCCTGCATGTGAACTGGCCTTGTGGCCTTGAACTTGTGCTCGGAATGTGTGGTGACTTTGTGATCCACCCTGAGCTTTGCTTTGTTTTGCTTGACTGGTCTTATGACCCCTTGTTCTCCCCCACTTTGCCTATGGGGGTGTGTCAAATTATAATGTTGTGTAGGCTATAGTGGGGTAGCCTATATGGGGTACACATTTCTAGGGTTGCATATTTGTATCACTTTTGTTCCTTAGTCAATCATTCTCGTTTCAGTTTTCTCATGATACAGGTTCTTCAAATGGTTGTACGCGAGCTCGGCGGAGTTGCCATATCCCCGATAAGACCGAATGTTATGCTGCTGGTTTGGAGTTACGTTCCTCTGCAGGATCGTGTAAGCCATCATTGACTGATACGTGTACTGCTGCTTGTTGTATTGCGTTCTGTGTGTTGGGTATGGCAGGGACCCGTCGAAGAATCTAAGAATCTGCGCGCCTTCCATCATTAGCTCGAACTCGAAGGACCAGGTATAGAAATTCTTCCCGTCAAAAGGTGTAGATGTCTGGAGTTTCAGAACGTGCGCGAATTGCGGCTGAACCTGAAGTGCATCCAATGTCTTTTCTTGTCCAGGTGAAGGCTGTTGGCTCGCGCTAAGGTTCGTATGGAGCAAAGGTAGGTTGCTGTTGGTTTCCGCGCGCATAGAATGAGCCGTCGAGGCTCATTGGTGTAACGTCGTTGTTGTTGTTGCTGTTGTTTGACTGCGCAGGTGCCGTTTGCTGATGCTGCTCGTAGAAGGACATGAAGGAGAATAACTTCTCCATCATGCTTGGGTCGAAGCCCGCGGCTTGATTTGCGGGAGTTTCAGTAGACCTAGCTGCTGGTCCTGTTGCCGTGCCCTCCTCTGTCTGTAGGCCAGAGGCAGGAGGTGGAGTACGAGTAGTACCAGGAGAGCCTTTAGAGGAGCTTCTCTCCTTCTGCGTTGCCATGCCTTCTGATGTTGTAGGTGTCTTAGAAGTAGTTGAGTTTGCCCTGATAGCTCTCATACCATGTTGGGCTGAGAAAAGCCCTTAGGATCTCTGCAGGACTAAATTCTGGGTAGGAATGTTGTAGTTGCGGAAGCGTTTAATAAGAGTATTGAACCACCTTGCGCTGGTATGTGAGGGCAAAGTAGATTGATTAAAACAAAGAGGTACAAGGCTTTTATAAGAGTACAAGGAATATGAACGGATACAACTAATAACTTTTTACTGTTGCTGTTGCGGCTCGATATAGTGACGACTCGGGCAACTGCTCTGTATCGAGTCAGTTGTTTGTCCTTGCTATCGCGCTGTATTTATCAAGTCAAAGGTCGCTGACCTTTGACCTTCGCGTAACCTCCAGCGGTTATTTCATTTGTCAACCTCCGATAGTTGACTCGCCGATGCTTCGTTGTGCTTCGGTTCGTTTATGACTTAGTGTTTCATCACACGACAGAAGCGCTTAAATTACTTGTTTCCAACACCGCCTTCTATACTTTGTCGGCAAAGGCCACTATGGCCTCCTAGCTTGCTTCCAGCTTGCTGTCATTGAGCTCATCCAGCGCATACCCCTCCACCTTCTGGATTGCCTGCGGTGAATGGACGCATCACAATGGCACGAGGCGAAATATACTTTTGCTCCATTGCAGAAAAAAATGATCTCGTGATTCTTCGTCTGCAATGCGCGTACCCAATCTCTGATGTGTGACTAGTAGCAAATCGGCGTCGAGCCAGTTAGCAGCTCCAAGAGCATGATGACAAAGCTGTCAGTAGGCAAGAAGTATAACAACATGCACAATTGTTGACACAGGTGAAGATATACATGGAGCAATTGCAAGAATATATAAGGCAGGGATGTTCATAAGCATTTATTTCATAAGCATTTATTTCAGAAGCAATCCAACCTGAAGACGTTGCTCTTGGTGGTGACCACGTGTGTGCGGTTGTAATCCGGGTCCACATGGCCAGGAGTGCCCGCCACTCTGGTGGCATCGCCCTCGCAGTAAGTGAGGCGCTTGAGCAGCCCAAAGTCAGCCACCTTGGTGTGCATGTCGGTCGTCACAAGGATGTTGGCGGGCTTGATGTCGCGGTGAATGATGGGCGTCGCAAACCCATGCAGATATGCCAGGCCCTCTGCTGCTCCTTGCACCAGGCGCAGCCGCTGCCGCAGTGAGAGAGGGTCTGAAAGAAAGAGAGAAAATAGAAGAACGTGCAAATAAAGTGGGATGCTTTAGACCATGTAACAAAGAGGGTGGTGTGTGTGTGTTTGTAAATGCGTATGAGTGAGTGTGAGTGAGAGTGAGTGAGTGTGTGTGTGTGGATGTGTGTGTGTGTGTGTTATTCTACCCTACCAATCTTGGGAAAGATTGTAACTCAATGTTGGAGCATTCTTGGTATAACTCAAGAAGGTAGGTATAACTCGCTCTTGGTCTTGAAGATGTGATGCTGCAAGTCCCTGTTACCCACAAACTCTTAAACCATAATCCACACAGAAGCCCAGCAGCCGCATCAGGTCCACATGGTTGAGCGTTGCCATGGCTCGCATCTGCAGGAGATGATGCATTCAGAGGACAAAAGAGGAGAGGTTTAGGTCTTGGGTACGCCCGATGAACCCACAGCTATGTTTCCAGGGGCGGATTCGCTCCTTGCTGTGTGTGAGGATGTCGCACCAGCAGTGCATGTTGCAGCTGCTCCTAGCTTGGGCCTCACCTCTCTCACACAGGCCATACAAGAGCCTCACCTCTCCCTCAAAGTCGTTGGTCATGACAGTGGATAGCTTGATGGCCCACATCTGCCCCTGTGGCGAGTACCCCTTGTACACGACGTCGAAGCCGCCCCTCCCCACCTCGCTCTCCTTGGCCCAGTTGTTTGTGGCCTTCACCATTTGCTGCAGTGTGTATTGCTTACGCAATTCCAGCCCCTGCCACTTCCCTGTATGTACACACACAAAACACACATGATGAAGCATGGGGCGAGTGAGAGGTGTTGGGAGAGATAGGAGCGGAAGAATGGAGGCGGGGATGCAGCAGTGGAAAAGTTGTGCAGGAGTGCAAGAGTGACTCGGCATGGGTGCGAGGTTGGGGGGTTCTCACTTGGTCCGTAGCGCCACAGCAAGCTTGAGAGCACAGCAGCCACTAGAAGGAAGGCAGCAAATCAGCCCACCGCAATGCCAACTATGGCGCCCGTGGAGAGAGAGGACACTGCAGAGGAAGAAGGGAGGAAGAAAAGAGAGAGGAAGAAGGGAGGAAGAAATAACAGAAGCAATGGTTGATATCAAACAGAAAGCTGGCGTTTGGGAAGCTAGGGTTGGGTAAAGAGGGTTTAGGTGAGAGAGGACAGGAGAGGTGGGCGAGGAAACAACAACCAAGATGGGTCGGATATGCAACACAAAGTAGACGCAGCGGGTGATGTAAGCCTGCACTAAAACAGAGTCTAACCACCTTGTTAGTGTGCAAGTGCGATAGGCATACCAATGATTGCTGTACAGTTGACAACTGTGCAGAGCTAGAAAAAGTACTCTTTCCACCATGTCAGTGCGTCAGTGCAAAAAGGCTCACCAGTGGTGGTGGTGGAGTTGACAGTGGTGCAGGTGGAGCAGTTGGGCGAGTCGAGAGGCGAGTAGCCGGCACGGCAGGGGCAGGTCAAGTTGGAGGGGGAGGCTGTGGAACACTACTTTAACAGCTTGATAGAACTTGGAAGCATGGTTCCAACGCACCAAATATTGCAGGAAACGGTCCACTACAGCCAGAGATACACACAAACATAGCAGTGATAATGACTTGGTTTTATATTCAGGTTTGTGCTCTCTGGTTTTATACTAGGACGCAATCCAAAAACAAAGCACACAAGAAAGTGTCGACCCAGGTCGCGGGCTGAATTTCGTCGACGAGAAATTCCGAGCCTTGAATTTCGCTGGGTGAATTCCATTGACTGGAATTCTGTAGACGAGAATTTCGGCGACCAAAACTCCGTCGATCACCGACTGTAACTCCCGTGCAAATTTTGTTGACTTCGACACTTCTTGGCCGAGTTTCAAACCAAACGCGACCCGCGATCGATTTCGCCAAACTGTCCCCAAACAGTCCCCAATCTGTCCTGATAGGACACTTTCGGGACACTTGAATCGAAAGGTTTCCAGTTCGAAACTCGCGTGCACCATAACCAGCGCCTTAGCAGAAACTGTCCTTTCAGGACAGATTGAAGGTTACGAGTTCAGATTCCAGCGCCGACATTTTGTTGCTCATGGCAGCATTTCCTTCTAACACGCCCCCTTGTGAGGAGCATGCTGGATCAGCCCGGCTGTTGCATAACAACGATTGAAGGCTGCCTTGTCGAGCCGCTTCGTGAAAAAAATCGCGGGCTGCGCCGCCGTGGGGATGTGCTGCAGCTCCAACTTCTTCATGCTTCATGCGCCCCTGCAGCCCGCCCGCCTGGCTGAGCTGCACCGCAGACATGTTGTCGACGTGCAAGGTGGTGGGAACACCCTTCTTGAGTAGTTAAAACTCCCACAGCAGGAACCTCAGCTTGCGTCCCTCCTTTCCCGCTTCCACCGCAGCCACAAGCTCGCTCTCGGTGGAGGAAAGTTTGGTTGCACCCTGCAGCTTCTTGGCCTGCCAGGAAACGGCAGCTCCGCCAAGCTTGAAGAGGTAGCCTCCCGTGGAAAACTGGTTCTCCTTGTTGCCCGCATCATCCGCATCTGAATACCCCACGAGGGTCAAACTTTCCGGTCCTCCCTTGAGGCAGCCCAGTAGGAGAGTGTGCGGAAGAGCTCATGCCAATGCGCATCTGTCCTTAGGTATGCACGTGCTGCAAGGCAGCTGCACGCAAAAGAGAGGTAAGGACGGGTTGACATGGCTGCAAACTGCACCATGCCGAGAATTGATAAGTACTCGGTCATGGTTTGGTCGGCAAATTGCCCGGCATCCTGCTTCGGCAAAGCTGATAGAGGAGAGAGGAGTGATCAACTGCTTCTTCGGTGGTGCCCCCTTGAAGAACCGCTGCTGCACCTTCGCCACGTATGCATTCTGGTGCAGGAAGAGTGTCCTGTTGGGGCGGTCGCGCACAATCTGCAGCCCCAGGTAGCGCTCCACTGGCTCCACCCTACGGAGCTTAAACGCCTTGGCCAGCAGCTCCTTCAAGTCCTGCAGCAGCTGCTTGTCTTCACTTGCCGCTAGCAGGTTATCCACGTAGATTAGCAGCCACGCTCGCTTCCCGCTCGCCCCATCCTTGTAGTATAGGGCCTGGTCCACAAGGTTCTTCCTGTACCCCTCCACAAGGAGCACCTTGTCCAACTCCTTGTACCACAGAAGGGGACTCTGCTTGAGTCCGTAAAGGCTCTTTTGCAGGAGGCACACCTTGTTGCTACCGTTGGTGAAGTAGGGTAAGGCGGCTGCTGCATGTAGATCTCGTGGTCGATGGTGCTGTGAAGAAATGCATTCTTCACATCACGCTGCAGCAAATCCAGGTCCATAGCTGCTGCAATTGAGAGGAGCACGCGAACGGTGGTATAGCTGCCAACAGGAGCATAGGTGTCATCGTAGTCGATGCCGAAGCGCTGGCTGAAGCCTTTTGCCACGAGCCTGGCCTTGTACTTCTCCACAGTGCCATCAGGCCGCAGCTTCTTCTTCAGCAGCCACTTGACGCCGACTTTTTTGCGGCCTTCGGGTAGGTCGGCCAACGACCAAGTGCCTTGCTCATCAAGGCTCTCCATCTCCTCCTTCATAGCAGCCCACCATTCCTCTTCAGGTCCGGTCAATGCTGCTGCCAGATCAAGGATGACACCTCCCCAAGCGCCTTCCTCCTCCTCATCCTCGTCCAGGTACTCCACTTCGTCGTCGCGGTCTGTGTCGCAATCGTCCTCAGCAAGGTACGCCATGTCGTACGGGTTGTCCTTATCGTCCGCAATATGTGCCGTCATGGCTGACGGTTGAAACCGTACAGGTGTCACCCCCTTGTTAGGCCTGCTAAAGCGACGTGGGGGATGTGGAATGGGCTGGATGAGAGAAGCTGCAGGTGAAGGCTCATGCTCATGGGCCACTGACGGCTGCTCATCCACTGCCATCTCTCCTTCCTCCTCATGATCAGCCGTGTCACCTCCGTCCTCAAAGGGACCATTTTCTGGTCCCACAGGCGCCAAATCAGCACTTGAGGAAGGACCTGGAGGTGGCCCTGACGTGGGTGCCTTGCTGCCCGCAGGGCCCACCAAGTGATCAATGTGTTGCTCGCCCCCCTGCACGGACGGCACCGGGACCACGATGACAGTACGTGGTGGCGGCAGATTCTTCTCAGGGTTGTGGGGCTCAGGAAAGAGAGATGGGAGAGACACAAAGGGTGGTGTGGGCTGGTCACTCCCTTCACCCACACATGCCCGCCACTCCTACCACCTTTCAAGTGACATATGCTTATAAAAATGTGCATCTCGGGTGATGACCATGCGCTTTGACTCAACATCCACCACACGCCATCCCTTTCTTTCCATGCTCATGCCCAAATGCATGCCCCAACGAGTCTTGATTGCAAGCTTCCCCTCACGCTCATGCTCAGGGATGAGGTATTGCACCATGCACCCAAACACACGAACCATGGACACATCGGGCTTGACTTTGAAGCACACCATGGGGCAGGGTGGACTGGTGCACACGAATTGCCACCCACAAGAACTGCTGGAAAGCGAAGTGCCACCAGTGTGCTTTCACCCCCATGTGCCCCAACATCACACGCATGCCCTCAGTTACCGTACGGTTGCGACGTCCAACCACACCGTTCTGCTGGGGGGCGGAGGGGCAGGAACGTTGATGCAGGATTCCTTGTTGCTTCAGTAGCAGCAAGAACTCGTTCGACATAAACTCCCCTCCCTAGTCCGATCGCAACACCTTCAGTGTCATCCCGGTCTGGCGTTCAGCTTCGGGAAGCCACTCCTTGAAGGCAGTAAGCGCGTCGGTCTTCAGCTTCAATGTCTTCCCCCAGGTGTACCGTGAGGCATGGTCCACGAAAAGAATGTATTACCTGCTTCCATCCATGGGTGGGGTCTGGAATGGACCGCATACGTGAATATGGACCAGCCTAAGAACCTGCTTCTCTCGCTCGTCGTGCAGCGGAAATGTTTGGAGAGTGAGCTTTGCTTCGTGGCAGGAAGTGCACGGCATATCCTCACCTCCTTTCTCCAGGTCAATACCTAACACGCCGTTGCTCGTGGCTGTCCGCTTCACACCATCAAAGTGGACGTGCCCAAGGTGAGCGTGCCATAGGTTGGGCGTTGCCTTGGAGCCCACCGCGTACGTCTTGAGGCTGGCCGCTTCGTCCTTCATTTCTGGCTTGCTTGACGCCACATCAGCAACCGCCTTAGTCATGCCGTTGCATGTCACTGCAGCCACTGTGTCGTTGCATGCCGCTCCAACCGCCGTGCCATTGCATGTCGCTGCAGCTGCTGTGCCGTTGCATGCCGCTCTAGCCATCCTGCCGTTGCTTGCTGGTCACGGTTTCAAGCAAAGGCAGATTAGACGATGGCGGTATCGGGCCGTTGCAGCCACGTGTCCTCCCGATGCCACGATATGATTGACACCTTCTTCGGTTCGTAGATTTGCTCCCCTGTCCGTGAGCTGCCCAGGGGAGACCAAGTTGGCCTTCATTCCTGGCACAAAGAGGACATCATGCAGGGTCACACGCAAACCGTAGTGCCATCCAGCAAAACCTCACCAGCGCCGACGACCTCCTGCATTGAACCATGAAAACCTTTGACGGATTTCGTTGCGGATGGGTCATGAATCACCGTGAACCACTCCTTGTGGCAGGTCATATGTTGGGAGCATCCCGAGTCAAGGAACCACAAGTCCTTGTCATCGGCCAGCAACTTTGCAGCCAAACACGCGACGGTGAGTGCCACGCCCATCCTGTCTCCTTCAGCTACATTCGCGGCTGCCGCGGGCATTGCATCCTTCTTCTTGTTGGGGCACTTGACTGCCATGTGCCCCTCCTCATGGCAGTTGTAGCAGCACCTCTTGAAGGGGGTTCGCTTCTTCTCCCTCTTGCCATCCTTCTTCTTGTCCGTCTGCTCCCTTCCTCCTTTTCCTTCCTTGCCGTTGACCCCCGTTGTAGCCACGATGGTGTTGACAGTGCCCGAGAAAGCAGATGCATTGCTGGTGATCTGCTTGTAGCTCTGTTTGATGGAGAGAGTCTGCTCTCCATCAACACCTCGTTGCACACACGTTCCATCGTCATGTCAAGGCTGGAAATGTTAAGCTTGCGGTGAAGAAACCCGTACTCCGGTGGCAGGCCCTTCAACACGTGGGGGGCGAACGTGGCCATGTAGACCTCCTGTCCAGTGGTCAGCAGCTCTACTCGGATGGTGCGGGCCCTATTGCAGTAGGATTCCGCCGTCTCATCATCTCTCTTCCTGAGCTAGGCTAGCTGGGTCCGAAGTAGGGAAGCGTGGAGGGCATCTCGAGCTTGATAGATAGACAAGATACATGCCCACGCTAGCTGCCCGAATTACTCTTACTGAGAGAGACCAGAGATGGACACTCAGATGGGTGGAGAAACACAGCGGTTCAGCACCATGAATGCAATCATTTGGCCCTTTGCATGCTCCCTTCGTTGCATGGGGTTGTTTGTAGCCGGGCTTGGTGCTGTCCCGTTGCAAAACTTCCACAAATCAGCACACTGGAGCTGAGGTCGGATGGCGCTGACCCACGCGGTGAGGTCGTGCCTTCCCTCTAGCAACGGCGTCACGGAAATGTGCTCGACTCCGAGTTTCAAACCGAACACGACCCGAGATCGATTTCGCCGAACTGTCCCCAAACTGTCCCCAATCTGTCCTGACAGGACACTTTCGGGACACTTGAATTGAAAGGTTTCTAGTTTGAAACTCGCGTGCACCATAACCGGCGCCTTAGCAGAAACTGTCCTGAATCTGTCCAGGAACACTTTCAGGACAGATTGAAGGCCACGAGTTCAAATCTCAGCACCGACATTTTGTTGCTCATGGCAGCATTTCCTTCTAACACAGGCGGGGGCAGGCGGCACGCACTGCCCATGGCTGTCAAACGGGCCGTTGTTCGTGATGGTGCAGAACGCCTAGCAGGCTGCGCTGGGTGGTGTTGGCTGAGCACTCCGTGCCCGCACTCAGCGTAAGGTAGTTGCCCGCCACACTCACCCTCGCCTCCTTGCCTGCGCCCACCACCGAGTGATCCCGCATTGCAGTGAAGCTGCTGGCACATTTCCCAATAGTGCCGTCGCCCGTGGGTGATCTGAGTGGGGCAGACCTGGCTGCCAGTAGCGAGGAGCAGGGCATCGCCAAAGAAGAAGTTGTGAGCCAAGTTGATGAGCGTATCGCCATCCACCACAATGCTCTTGAAGTTGCGGTTGATGCGCCCGTACAGGCTGATGCCGCTCACATTGCTGGGGGGAGTAGGAGGAGCAGGGAAGTGTCAACAGAAGTATTCACGCCCATGTTGAAGTGAGCACAAAAACCAATTCCCTTAAATTTACCAACCATCAAAAGAGCATGTCCACAAGGTCAGCTTCTTGCATACACGTGAGCTGCACAAGTGCATGAGGGAGTGGGAGTACCGTGCTTGAACTTGCAGTGAGTAAAGAGTGAGCAAACTGATTGTCTCACATTTGGTTGACACACTTGTCGAATATGCACTCTGGCAGAGGCCCATAGAGGTAGTTGTTGCTCATCTTGCTGCCTGCACACAGCACACAGCACTCAGCGCACAGCATACAGCACAGAGCACAACAGCACATGGCACACACCACACAGCACATGGCACACGGCACACAGCACACAGCACACAACACACAGAGCACGACACACAGCACACAAGACACAGCACACAGCGCACAACACTTGGCATACAGCACACAGCATACAGCACACGGCACACAGCACACAACACACGACACACAGCACACGGCACACAACGCAGCTGTACCTCATCAATGCAAGATCTAGAAAGTAGCACCACGAGCAACAGACACTCGCTAACTTCAACATGCATACACAACGAGAAACTAGATTCCACACAACACTTCCCCACCTCCCTCCCTATGAGTCTGTGTGTGGTGTTTGCCACTCGTTCTTCACTCTACTGCAGTTCATGACATGCTGCATGACTCACAACCATGCAAGGATGACCCTTGCATAGCAACTTAGCCCTACGATCTATGACACATACATAGCATGTGATATCCATGGTTGCAGAAATATCTACAGCTTGGATCGTTGAGATGCATGGAAGATAAGAATAGCTGGTGGAAAAGCGCGGAATGAGGGAGAGCCGCGAGCGAGCAGAAGAGAAGTGGAAACCCAGTGGAGTGGAGACCTCCGAGTGCTCTGAGGGCACTTGAGTTGAGCTCACAAGGAGGCTAGATTGGTCATGCTTAAGATGGCAGGCGGAATGGAGCTGTTCAACTGATTGTTGTTGAGGATGCTGCATGCATGCAAGGCGAGCGCGTTGCCATAGGAAGGGGAGCACAGGTGAGTAGACGCAGTGGAGTCAAAAATGCCAGCATGCTACCTAGCTGCTGCACCACATGTTACAGTGGGACAAAGGATAGAAATCAGGTACAAGGAATTACTTACACATGCAACGTTGTTGGATTGGACGCATGGCTGCAAGCAGTGGTGGCTCACATGCCATTGAGGGAGGTGAGTGTGGAGATAGACCCCACGAAGTTGTTGTGATTGAGAGCCCTATGCACCACCAGCATAGGACATAAACACAGAGTTAGGGACTGATACTAACAAGGTTTAAGATGTGAATCAAAGTTGAATAGCCAGAATATGAAGCGGAGAGGAAGGGAGACAATGGGAGAGAATTTGGATTTGAGGGCCTGAAGGAGGGGAGCCTAGCAGCAAAAACAAAAGCAATAATCAGACAGCCCCAGTCGAGCCGCATCTGCAACCCCAACAAAAATATTTGCCAATCATCACCAGAAAAGCTGGCCCATGACAAAAAGAGCTCGCAATCTGGGACAACCAGGTTGCCACTTCTCTGCAACGGCCCTCAGCCTTAGCTTCCCAGAAAACTCCCACCAACAATATCACCTGCCACTCCTCTTACCACAACATCCGAGACACACAGTGTGCCTAGAAAAGGACCCAAATCCGCAACAAGATGGGTTCTTCTCTTTTCCCCCTCCCTTACACTTTGGATCTCACCTAAACGACCTTACTACAAGACGGTGCGGCAGCTACTTTAAGAATGATAAGAGAGCACGCACTATATCAAAGGAAGCAATAACCTCCTATGGCAAGCCAAAGCTGGAGGAAATGCCTTCGCCTGCCTTTGCTCCATGAGAGGGGAAGAGCGCTACGAAGACCGTTTGAGCTTTTCAAGCGGTGACAGCGACCTTCCCGTCCGTGCTCGACTTGGCATACGTGCAGGATATAAGTTTAAATATGTGGACCAGACGATTGCACTGCACCACCGCTTTCACACACTTCACCACGGATCTCCTCGACCTCAGCTCAAAACCCACGTTTAACTCACTCAGTAAAGCGTGCAGCCTGGTCCGCCTCTCATATGGAGCCCCATCCCACCTGTACCTGGGCGCCGAGTACCACAGTGAGCCGCTACTCAGCCAGGCAGGTGTTCGCCAAGGCGACCCCCTCGGCGCGCTGCTATTTGCGGCAGGCATGCACCCGACCCTCGAATCCACCGCTGCAGCCTTTCCAACCGTCCTCTGCCTGGCATATGCGGACGACGTGATGTTCCTTGGAGTGGTGGTCAACTGCGCAGCCGCTTTCAACCACTTCCCGTCGCAGCTGACGGGCGTGGGGCTGATACAGAATCCGACAAAGTGCTCGGCCTGGAGCCACAGCTTGGAGGACGAGACCATCTTGCCTGCTGGGGTCCCATTTAAAGCGGAGGGACTACGTGTCATGGGCAGCCACATCGGCCCGGAAGAAGGAGCGGCCACATTCCTTCAAGACCAGCTGGCCAAGATGGCCGCCCCACTACCACTCATCAGCGAGCTGAACCCGCAGATAGCCAATCTGCTCTTGACCAAGTGCATGTCAAGGCGGGTGTCTTACCTGGCCCGCACCACACCCCTCCACCTCCTACCAGAATCTGAATGGTCCCGCTCGGGCGAGGCGCAGCTCCTCACGCTCCTGGACGCCTGCGGTGTTCACCACCCAAGAGGGTTAGAAGAGGAGCAACGGGTGTGGGGACAGGCCTCTCTACCACCGTCTCTCGGGGGCCTCGGCATAACAGACCCCGCGGTTGAAGGAAGATACAGCTTCTTAGCAAGTTTCGTACAAGCGCAGAACTTACTGGGCTCCCGCGGGGCTCCACCTGACTGGCACCTTGGCGCAGCCAGCAGTTGACAGCATGGACCAGCATCAGCTACAGTGGCTGATGGAATGTGAAGCCGCCTTGGGGGAGGAAGCCTTGGAGTTGCTGTCAACAGAGCAGACTGCCCCTACAAACAGACTGCAGCACTGCCTCGCCCTTCTTGTTCAGGGCAGCCGCTTCGCCGCGCAGTTAGTGGCCTCAAGACAGATGGAACTAAACCCGCTGGTAGGACACACGCAGCGACTACTCTCTCTGACAGGTTTTGGGGCAGGGGATTGGCTGCTCGCCATCCCATACATGCCCTCCCTCCGCCTTAGCCCGGAACTGTTTGCATTTGCACTGCAATTCCGGCTTGGACTACCCCTCCCCGTACTGGAATGTTGTGACTGCCGAGACAGGATCCCAATCCTAGACAAACAGCTACCCAACCACCTTCTTTGCTACGGCACGGGACATGGACGGTCAGGCACACACAACGGAGTGAGGCATGAATGCGTGCGCATGGCACAGGACGCGGGCTTCACAGTACACAAGGAGTCAATGGCATTTTGCCCAGTGGACAAGCAAAAGGCTGACCTAGCACTTCGGGACTGTACCTCAGGTGCAGTTTATTTGTGTGACGTCACGGTCACCAACCCAATCAGCAGCCGCGATGAGAACGCTACAAAGGGGAGGGGCTGGATGGCGTGGGAGATGGCAAACAAGAAGATAGCGCACTACAGAACCCCGCTTGCCGTGGGTTGGGTTGGTTTCTTCCCACTGGCAGTCGAAACCTATGGGTGCCCCTGCGAGGAGGTTCCTGCCTTCCTCAAGCTACTAGTCGACTAGGCAGGCCGCAAACTTTTCAATGCGGACCCGTCTTCTTACCAAGTGGCAAAGATGATGCACCAGTACCAGCAAAGATGGTCCATCTCCCTGCACAGGGGACAAGCCCTCAGCTACCTTAAGAGGCTGAATCTGGCTGGACAAGCAGAGAACCCGCCAGTCGGAGGGTCAGAGGGGGTACTGAACCCAGGGGACTGCTTTGCTACCTTGGAAGGTTAGAGAGGGAAGGGGATGGTTAGTTAGTTTGTTAAAGGTCAAGTTGGCTCTACTTGCTCTTACCTGTACTACACGTTCTGTATCAATGACACGTCCATTCGAGAGGGAGAGAGACGTACAGGCGTTCGAGGTTGACATGCCAGAGAGAGAAGTCAGGTAAATGACCTGTGAAGCCGTTTCGTGCCACGTTACTGCACAGTGGGCAGAGGGCAGACGTCGCAAGGCAGCATCATAAGCAGCAGAGCAGATGTGGGATCTAGGAAAATGACTTGGAGCATAATGACAAGCAATGTGAGAGGGACTTGGTGGAGAACACACAGTGTTTTCAAAGAGTTGGAAGCCTTGAGAGACGTTGGAAGGCCCCCCGAAAGGAAGTTGTTGGCCACTTGCCTGCAAAGAAGGGAGTGAGGTGGGGAGGAGAAGGGGCGGTTGCATGCTAAACAAGCCAGAATCGCCTGTTAATAGAATGCATCAGAGGCTTGAAAATGTAGGCAGAAGCTGCAGATGTGAAGGCAGGGAGCATAAAGGCAAGCAAGAAGCATGAAGTAAGCATGCAAGAAAGAAAGAGAAAAAAAAGGTGTGCTGAAGACAAAGGCAATCAATAGGGGCACTCACAATAAGTTGAGCAAAGGGAGGTGGAAGAGGCCAGGCGGGATAACTCTACGGAACATGTTGTCACTCTGATTGGTGACAACAGTAACCTCAAGGGCGAGAGGGAGATGACAGATGATCATGAGGTGCTAAATGTGTATGATGAAATTGCTTGAGACTCGTCCCCGTAGAACCCTGTCTTGTCCTGTGCAATGATACAACCTCATTCATCCCAATCCCACCTACCCCTTCTCCTAAACATGACACTCTCGTGGCTCTGTGTGTGTGCATGTGTGTGTGTATGTGTGTGTGTATGTGTATGTGTGTGTGTGTGTGTGTGCTCTTTGGGTGCAGCCTGCAGTTGACTTTTGAGGTGACTTCTGAGTCGACTCAAAAGTCGCACTTCCACAGCTACATGTGTGTGTGTGTGTGTGTGTGTGTGTGTGTGTGTGTGTGTGTGTGTGTGTGTGTGTGTGTGTGTGTGTGTGTGTGTGTGTGTGTGTGTTGTGTGTGTGTGTGTGTGTGTGTGTGTGTGTGTGTGTGTGTGTGTGTGTGGTGTGTGTGTGTGTGTGTGTGTGTGTGTGTGTGTGTGTGTGTGTGTGTGTGTGTGTGTGTGTGTGTGTGTGTGTGTGTGTGTGTGTGTGTGTGTGTGTGTGTGTGTGTGTGTGTGTGTGTGTGTGTGTGTGTGTGTGTGTGTGTGTGTGTGTGTGTGTGTGTGTGTGTGTGTGTGTGTGTGTGTGTGTGTGTGTGTGTGTGTGTGTGTGTGTGTGTGTGTGTGTGTGTGTGTGTGTGTGTGTGTGTGTGTGTGTGTGTGTGTGTGTGTGTGTGTGTGTGTGTGTGTGTGTGTGTGTGTGTGTGTGTGTGTGTGTGTGTGTGTGTGTGTGTGTGTGTGTGTGTGTGTGTGTGTGTGTGTGTGTGTGTGTGTGTGTGTGTGTGTGTGTGTGTGTGTGTGTGTGTGTGTGTGTGTGTGTGTGTGTGTGTGTGTGTGTGTGTGTGTGTGTGTGTGTGTGTGTGTGTGTGTGTGTGTGTGTGTGTGTGTGTGTGTGTGTGTGTGTGTGTGTGTGTGTGTGTGTGTGTGTGTGTGTGTGTGTGTGTGTGTGTGTGTGTGTGTGTGTGTGTGTGTGGTGTGTGTGTGTGTGTGTGTGTGTGTGTGTGTGTGTGTGTGTGTGTGTGTGTGTGTGTGTGTGTGTGTGTGTGTGTGTGTGTGTGTGTGTGTGTGTGTGTGTGTGTGTGTGTGTGTGTGTGTGTGTGTGTGTGTGTGTGTGTGTGTGTGTGTGTGTGTGTGTGTGTGTGTGTGTGTGTGTGTGTGTGTGTGTGTGTGTGTGTGTGTGTGTATGTGTGTGTGTGTGTGTGTGTGTGTGTGTGTGTGTGTGTGCTTTGGCTGCAGGCTACAGGTAAGAGGCATGTGGGGTGCGAGCGACTCACATGTCTATCAGGTTGACAAGCTCTGTGAGTCGGTTTGGGATCAACCGGGAGAGACTCAGATTGCTGACACGAGCGATCTCATTGTTGAGAAGGAGACGAGAGATGGTCATGAGGTGCTAATCGTGCATGATGAGATTGCTTAAATATCATCCTGTGTGATGATACGTCCTCGTTTATTCCGGTCCCACCCCTTCTCGTACTCAGCCATGGCACTTTCGTGGCTGTGTGTGTGTGTGCCTTCGGTGGAGCCAACAGGTGACGCGACTTCGAGGAGAATTTTGAGTCAACTCAATAGTCGCACTCCCACGCCTGCATGTGTGTGTGCTTTGGCTGCAGTCTGTAGGCAAGAGGCATGTGCTTTGGGTGTAACTCACATGTCTACTAGGCTGACAAGCTCTGTGAGCCGGTTGGGGATGAACCCGGTAGAACTGTTGTTGCTCAGATTCCTGCAGCAATTGCCATGGCCACAGAAAGCGGCGATAATGTCAGCCCCGTCTTCATATAAGTTCTCAGGCGCCTCAAAACTCAGTATACCCATCATATGCCTTTGGGTGAGGCATTGCCTTGGGGAAGGACGAGTATTTAGGAAGGATAAGACTCACATCCACAGAAATCGCCGGTGGCTTTGGAAGCAACATTGCTTCTGTGTGGTTGCGTGTTTTGGTGATTTGAGGGAGCTCTTGACAGCCTGCTCAGGTCAGGTGCCCCTCCTACAGAATTTCGAGGTGGCTCGGGGAAGGATCCCGTGAAGTGGTTGTTCTGGATGCTTCTGAAGGGCGTCAGGAGATGGGCGTTGGGGGTTGAATCGATGGATGGGCTAATGCACACTTATGCACAAAGTCCTTAGGATACACACCACCAGTGCATACATATGGCGACACACTTGCACAAGTTCTCTCACAACGTAGATATGCATGCACTCATGGATTCACACGCCCACCCTTAAGTGGACAAGTGAATGCATGTACATATGCACCCGGAAACACATGGGAAAGTAGAAACACGCGTCTCCACCACATGAGCATCCATGCATGCCTTTGCCGTTGCCATGGATGGACAATTTCTTCATACCTCACTGCTTTGTCATTCAATCTCTTAACTAGAGATGCTGAAAGATGGACATATACTCAGTTAGATGACAGACTCTTACCCCACATCTACTATTGGTATTTTAGAAAGGAAGAATGAAATCATCACACAGCAATACCAACGGAGAATGACTCACATGGACATGAGGCCCTTGATAGCAGCAAAGGACACGGGTAGGATACCGGAGAAGTTGTTTGTATGGAGGTCTCTATACGGATTGGATTGGATGGGGGCATTTAGACTTGAAGAGAGGCCGACACATGAATAAGAGCCGCAGCAGCTAAGCAGGTACTGAGTGGGGAGGAATGTGAAGGCATGCAGGTGGTGGATGGCGAGCAAGTGACTGAGCTCACATGTCTGTGAGCCATGTCATCTGAGCAACCACGTCCAGGCCTGAGCTCAGGCTGTTGTTGTATGTACATGTACCTATGGTGTGGTGTGGTGTGGTGTGGCATGGTGGTGTGGCGTGGTGTGGCATTTGTGCACAAGCACATGGCAGAAGGGATTAAGTCCAGAAGATGGTTGTGGTAGACAAACATTGGGTTTGCAAGGACAGGGACAGTAAGTGAGAGGAGAGCAATGAGCATGCTTAGCAGTTGCAATAAGCATGCTTGCCTAGTTATATCAGCGTTCACCTGGCCTCGGCTTCAGACAGCATAGTGCAGTGGCAAGAAAGCACAGCAGTAGATGGCGTTTAAGTGAAGGCTGTTTGACTACACGGAGATGCAATGCCAGTGAGCGTGGTGAAAGTGTGGGGAATGCCGCCTGTGAACCGATTGCTGAACAACTCCCTGTAGGTAGGGCGATTGCTCAGAGAAAGAAGGAAGAGGGGAGCAAGAGGGGAGCAAGAGGGGAGGAAGAGGGGGGGAAGAGGGGAGGAAGAGGGGAGGACAAGGGGAGGAAGAGGGGAGGAAGAGGGGAGGACGAGGGGAGGATGAGGTGGAGGAAGAGGGGAGGAAGAGGGGAGGAAGAGGGGAGGAAGAGGGAGGAAGAGGGGATGAAGAGGGAGGAAGAGGGGAGGAAGACGGGAGGACGAGGGAGGACGAGGTGGAGGAAAAGGGGAGGAAGAGGGGAGGAAGGGGGATGGAAGAGGGGAGGAAGAGGGGAGGCCAACGCATGCACATCTATCAGAGAACAGATGGGTACAAGTAGGAAACCTATAAGTCTTGTACCCCATATTGTCTACCCCACTACACCCTACACAGACTATAGCATAAGTGTTTGACACACCCCCATAGGCAAAGTGGGGGAGAACAAGAGGTCACAAGACCAGTAAAGCAAAGCAAAGCAAGCTCAGGGTGGATCACAACGTCACCACACAGTCCGAGCACAAGCTCAAGGCCACAAGGCCAGTTCACATGCAAGATCATATATAAAGGTAAACATTCAAGTGCAGGTATAGTAAGATCACAGTACAAGTAAGGTCAAGAAGTGAGCAAGTGAGGCCAAGTAGGCACAAGACCTAGCATCGTACAGAAGTGCTGATGATCACAAGGCGGAAGTGCCTTGGTAAAGATATCAGCAATGTTGGCCTCAGAGGCCACGTAAGCAAGGCGTAGCTGACCATGCTGCTGCAGCTCACGAGCAAGAAAGTAGCGAAGAGCAATGTGCTTCATCATGTGCTCCATTCTGTGCTCCCGACACAAGGCCAGCATGGCCTTGTTGTCTACGTACAGAACTGGAGGAGAACGAGGCGGCTCTCCTAGGTGAGTCAGCTGGTAGGTGAGCCAGCGTAGCTCCTGTGTAGCCATGGCCCCCGCGTAGATCTCAGCCTCACAGCTGGAGCCGAGAACAGAAGACGAGCGGGTAGACCGCCACGAAACAGAGCTGGAACCAAGGCTGAAGGTGTAACCCTGTGACGACCGCTGCGTAGCCTGGTCGTCAGCCCAAGAAGCGTCAGCGTGACCTGTGAGGACCACTGAACGTCGCCCTCCAAGCACTAGCCCCATGCCCGACGTACTGCACAAGTAGCGCAACACCCTCTTCGCTGCAGCCATGTGCTCTGGTCGGTGTCTCCCAGGAGCAACATAGCGTGCCAAGATGCTAAGAGGGTATGCAAGGTCAGGTCGTGTGCAGGTCATCAGGTACATGAGGCAGCCAACAAGCTCGGGGTACGGGCCACTCGGCTCTACGGACTCATCCGAAGGCAGAGCTGAGAGCGAGTGGCGAGTAGACAAGGAGTGGCCTGAGGCGAGGAGAACGTGAAGCCGAAGCGCTGAAGGACCTGCTGCACCATGTGTGACTGAGTCAGGGTAATGGTGCGGCGTGCTCTGTCCCCGGTGATCTGCAAGCCAAGGTAGCTGCGCAGTTCACCCAGGTCTGTGCACGTGTGTCTCTTCTGCAGCTCGGACTTCACGTGGGCTAGTCCAGCAGTGTCAGCAGTGGCAAAGACCACGTCATCGACGTACACGAGGATGTAGAACGGCGGCAAAGAGGTGTCGGTGCGCAGATGCAGCGACGGGTCGGTTGTAGAAGGAGCAAACCCAAGAGCCGCAAGTGTAGTCCTCAGTGTGTCGTGCCACTCACGAAGCGCCTGGCGGAGACCGTAGACTGGCCGCCGGAGGCTCCACTGGGTACCAGGGGGAAAAGACCCAGTGAAGCCAGGTGGGCGGCGCAGCCAGATCTCCTCGTGCAGGCTGCCCTGAAGGAAAGCTGTGCTGAAGTCAAGAGAGTGAAGCTCGTAGTCGCGCTGAGCAGCTATGTGCAGCAGCACCCGAAGAGTGGTCATCTTCGGGGTGGGAGAGAAGGTCTGGAAGTAGTCAACTCCCTCCCACTGACTGAAGCCTCGAGCCACGTAACGCGCCTTGAAGACAGGCGGAGAACCCGGCGGCCACTTCACCCTGAAAATCCACATGCCACTGACGATGTTCGCCCCATGTGGGGGAACCTCGTCGACGTAGGTGCCTGTGGACTTCCAGGAAGCCATCTTTGCGTCCATGGCTCAGTACCACTGTGAGGAGTAGGGACCCTCGATCGCCTCAGCGTACGATCGAGGAGTCGGGATGTCTGGTGCATCTGGGTCTCCCTCAGGGGCAATCAGCGTGGACACGAGATGAGGCAAAGTAGCAGCAAAACACTGGAACTCCTCCTGCGTGTCCTCAAGAACGTCCGTGCAAAGAGCACACTCACCCCCGACGGACGGAGGACATACAGACTCAGACTTAGCAACAAGTCTAGTGGCGTAGTCTAGACGACAGCGAGCAGCAAAGTCGACAAGCTCAGCAACCAATGCAGATGCAGCAGTGGACTCAAAGGAAGGGTCTGTGACAACAGTAGCCAGGAGACGCGTGACAGTAGGAATGGCAGCACGAAGAGAGTCAGACTCCGGGTCAGCAAGGACAGGAAGAGAGGACTCTGGAGGAGACGGCAACGGGACACGACGAGGAGCAGTAGAAGGACGCAGTGCCATCTGGTGTGTGCCTGGGACCGCAGGAGGACGCGGACGCGGAGCACGACTACCAGTGCGAGCTGCACGAACAGGCGACGCAGGACGAGACGCAGGCTCACAACGCTCAGCAAGACCTCCAGTAGGACCACTGTAGGGAGAAGGAGCAAGCAGGGGGGAGGCGGGCTGTAACTGTGACGGCGACTGGACAGGCTGTGGACACTCTAAGGGAGGAGCAGGACCAGTAGAGGGCGGGAGACCAAGAACCTGCTCAAGGAGCGGAACGAAGTACGGCCGCGACCGCGCAGCGCCTCCAGAACTAGCAGGGACAGCACAAGTACCCCCAGCGGCAGCACCAGCGCCAGCAGCACCTCCAGCTCCAACAGCGCCAACTCCAGCACCCTCAGACGCACCAGCGCCAGCAACACCTCCAGCGCCAACACCCCCAGCAGCTCCAGCTCCAGCAGCTCCAGCTCCAGCAGGACCGTCAGCTCCTGTACCGCCAGCAGCTCCAGCAGTACCTCCAGCAGGACCAACTCCAGCAGTTCCAGCAGCACCCCCAATCCCAGCAGCTCTAGTACCGTCAATACGAGCAGCTCCAGGACCAGCAGCAACAGTAGCACCTCCAGCTCCCGCAGCACGGCTCCAGCGCCGGGCAAACCACTCGCGCAGCATCTGTGGAGAGAGTAGCTCCCGCCTCGACGAAGCACTGCCAGAGGCCACACGAGCAGACCAAGCACCGCCAGGCTCCGCACCCCCAGGCTCCGTTCCCCCAGGCTCAGCACCCTCAGGCTCCACACCCCCAGACTTAGCACCCCCAGACTCAGCACCCCCAGTCTCAGCACCCCCATGCTCCGCAACCCCAGGCTCAGCACCCCCAGACCCGGCACCCGCAGGCTCAGCACCTCTAGCAGCACGAGAGTCAACAGCTACCTCGATAGGCTCGAGTGCGTCTACCTGGGACACACCTGACGGGGTAGGACCCTGAGGGGGGAGAGGGTCTACCGGGGGAGGACCTGGCGCAAGGAAGAGCGGCAGCCGGGGGAGGGGCGCAGTGCGGTAGGGGAAGAGACGGTAGTAAGGCACCGACTCGTCAAAGGTGACGTCCTGGGAGGACAGAACACGCTGCGAGGTGGGGTGGTAAAACTGCCAACCAGGCGCGTCAGGGGGGAAGCCAAGGAAGACGTAGGGAACAGCACGGGGGGACAGCTTGTCCGCAGACAAGTCGCGGACAAACGCCCGAGATCCCCAGACCCGAAACGCAGACGCATCCCCAACCTTCCCCGTCCACCGCAAGGTGGGGGAGGTCTATGGCAAGGAGACCCGGGGCTGAAGGTTGAGCTGATGCACTCCGTACTGAACCGCAAACGGCCACAGAAAATGGGGAGCAGCCGCATGGATCATGGACGTACGAGCGACGTCCATGACCATGCCAATGCGGCGCTCAGCAATCCCAATTTGCTGTGGAGAGGCCGGAAGCGTGAAGGTCTGGCGGATGCCCTGTGCACGATAGAAGGCTCCCAGACAGGCAGAGGAAAACTCCCCACCTCTGTCAGAGTGCAGACGTAGAACAGGAAAGTCCGAGCCGAAACTCTCTCTGAGCTGGAGACGAGCAGCGCGGATCCAGTCGATCAACACCCCAGTGACCTCATCCTTGGTGGGCAAGGGGAAGACTGCGGTGTAACGCGGGTAGTCGTCAACCACCAAGAGGAAGTAACGCTCGTGACCCTGTCCATGGACGCGAGCTGGGCCCCACACGTCCATGTGAAGAGTCTGCAGCGGAGCCTCTGTCGGAAGAAACTTGGAGGAGTGAGGAGCGGCGCGCTGCCGCCCCTCGACGTAGGGAACGCAGGTAGGGGCAGGCCTCGAAGGAAGGGGAGGGAGGGACCGGGGGAGACCAGAGACAAGGTAATAAGAAGCCATGCCTCGGAGACGAGGCAGGGAGGGGTGACCAAGGCGGTGGTGCCAAAGGAGAGTCTGGTGGGACAGGAGACGACACGAGCAGGGAGCAGACTCAGGACCAGACCTGGACGCTGCAGCAAACACCTGACTCGACGCAGCTACCTGACCAGACTCAGCAAACGGAGGAGACTCAGTAGTCAGTGTGTACAGGCTCGACCCTGGCCGACGGGTAAACGTGGCCAAGTGTCGGCCTGTCCGAGCACACGTACAGTGGGTCACCCGCTGACTCGCAGGAGTGAACTGGTCCACCCCCCCATCCTGCAGATCAGCACAACTCACCAAGTTCGTAGAGAACGAGGGGAGGTAGAGACCTGACAGGGAGCCAAAGGGGCCTGTCGGACACGGTAAGACAGTGGAGAAGCGAGCAAGGCCAAGACCCCCAGAGGGGTCCGCCAGGGAGACCGCAACCGGCCGACTAAGCGGCGTAAGCGTGGTGCAGTCTCGAAAGAAGGAGCGGGAAGCACCCGAGTCAAGGGTGAAGGTGTGTAAGGCCTGAGCCGACGTGGTACTTGAGAGAGCAGACTCACCAGCACCTGGGGCAGTAGACGCACTAGCACCTAGAGCAGCAGCCTCACCAGCACCTAGAGCAGCAGCCTCAATGCCCGGGTCAGGCGGAACACATAGGTAACAATCACCCTCATCACTAGTAGACACAGCATACATGGCACCAAGAATAGCATCATAGTCAAGATCAAAGATAGCAACCCCCGCCCTAGACAGCTCTCCCCAGCGAGGGATCTCAGTGGCGTCAGGGAAATGGGGACGCCAAGCGTCCGTCAGGCGGCCGAAGCAGCGCTGGGTGGAGTGCGAGCCCCCGCACTACTCACCAGCGCGGTCGCCGGTACGGAGGACGTAGGTACAGGGACCAGTACCCCCACCTCGCTAACGCCCAGCGTACCACTAACGAAGCTGCTGGGGGGACGGGGTTTCACGAGTGCGCTGCTGCTACTGGCGCTGACCACCACCTAAGCCGCCCTGCTGCGCCGAGCCACCCCGACTAGCTCCACCGCCTCCTCCTCCGCTCCCACCGCCACCGCCG